ATGGCATCAAGCGTGTACAGTATGAGCCAATCAGTGGCAGTAATGACAGAGCATGCGCTGTTACGCAAAAACCGCCATAGAGTGAAGCCGCGGAAGTCGAAGCGCGAAGTGGCGAGGGTTCACTGTACTTCCAAAGACCATATTTAAAACAAGGTAACATTCACAGGTAAGTCCCAGGGGTAAGATATCAACACAAATATGTGTGTGTGTGTATGTGTGTGGTGGTGGTGGAGGGCAAGAATATCATTCAATCGCTAACATTATCTATTAAGGGTGCAAAAACTCAGCAAGTCACTGATGTAGGTGGAAAGATGATCAGAGAAGACCTTTGAAGATGGTAAAATGTGTTTCGTGCTGTCTGACTGGCAACAGGTTCAAGTTAAAATGAAAAATGTAGGGTTCCTGACAAGGTGGAGATTCTAGCAGCTGGAGGCAGTTGAAATGGTTGCTACTGACAACCAGCCAGCTGGAAGAGCCCCCTTCATCTCCAGCAGCATGTCAGCTTTGCACCGCAACATCCCCCACTGCCGTTTCACCCACATCCTGGACTTGAGCCCTGCAAGCCTCCCACTCTCAGTCGTAATCTCTTCATCTGCCTCCCTGTGGTTCGGGTCTGTTTCATGCAAGCACTTTTTTGGGGGGCTTTCAACCAGTAAAACTCTCTCAGGAAAGAATGTTTGAACAGTCACTGCTTAGAATTGCTTGTTGGAGGGGATAAAAACCCTGAATTTTAGTTTTATTATTCTGTTTAACTTCTCTACAGTGAACCCCAGATGGTCTGCATCTCACTAGACTCAGTAGGACCCCACTCTCACCTTTCCCACTTCTTCACTGGGCCTGGCTCTGTCTTCTTCCCTACTTCCATTGACATGTAATTCATGTATGATACAATCCAGTGGTTTGAATATTTTTTAAAGAGTTGCGTGGTCATCACCAGAATCAATTTTAGATCATTTTCTTCATTCTATTATCCATTCTTATTAGCTCCTCATCGCCCCCACCCCAGCTTCCCCTGTTATAACCCTAATGAACTATTAGTCTAGTTACTGACTCTGTAGCTTTGCCTGAATTTCATATAAAGAAAATCATACAACAACAAGAAAACAAAACACAGGAAAACCCTCAATCTAAAAGGAAGCAGAAAATAATAAAAACGAGAACACGTTAAAAACAGGTCAAAGGGGAAAACGACTGTAAGAAGTTAAATTTTTAGCTAGCTATA